ATCAAAACCATAATCCACAGCCTTTGAGTTGTGGTAGTGAAGGATGCTGAATATTCCCCTGAACTGCCAAAAGAACAAATAGATATATCTTGGAAAGAGTGCAACCAAAGTGCTCCTTGGAGGCAAGGATGATGAAACTTTGTCTTTCATGCTTTGGATATGCTGCTAAGAAAGGCTATTCCTTGGAAAGGGATATCATGCTTGGAAAATGGGAGCGTCAGTGAAAGAGAGGAAGACCTCTGATGAGGTGGATTGACATGGTGACTGCAGCACTGGACACAGGTGTATCCGAGATGGTGAGGCTGACCCAGGACAGGACAGGATTTGGATTGGTTATTCATGGGGTTGTTATAAGTCATACTCAACTCGAGGGCCCCTAACGTCAACAACAAATAACCCACAGATATAGCATCTCAACAATTCACAAGCAGAACAGACTAAAAACCACAGCAAGGCACATCCAGTTGCTGAAACCAGAAAAGAGAGAAATAATGAAAAAAATCAGGAAAGTGAAAAGACATATGCAGAAGAACAAAGGTAAGAATGGGGACGTTTTATCAGAAAGTATGCAAGCCAGCACAATGTATCTGCTTAGTTTTGGAATTACTTCATGTTCTCATATTTCTTTGATTTTTTTTCCTTCTGAAATATGTAATGTTCCCCCAATCCCTTAATGTTCTTTTTGATATCTTTCTCATATCCATTTTGTAGCTGTGAGTCAGAACTGACTCAGTGGTATGATTTTGGGCTTTTTTTTTAATATATCTTGAAGCTCATTGGGGCATTTCTTATTTTTTCCTCATTATATTCATATTTTCTTCTACCTTTTTGAACATATGTTGTAGTTACGTGCCTTTGAATGGAAATTGGTGCACAGTTGACTCCCTAGTGTGTTTTCAAAGGCTGTAAGTGGAATGGGAGGGAACTGTTCATCTTTTTCATCCAAAGAGCAGCTGGTGAATTTGAACTGCCTGCCTTTCGGTTGGCAGTACAGCTTCTTACCACTAAGCCAGCAGAGAAGCGTATTTATAATAGTGATTTTGATAACCCCATTTATTATCTCCACCATCTCTGTTCCTACTGACTGATTTATGCCCTGGTTATGGTCAAGTTTTCCTTCTTGCCTAGTAAGTTTTGATTGCACGCTGAGCCTTGCTGAGTGCTGGCTTTGTTCTGTTCCTTTAAGGACTGGTAGATTTATTTGGGATACTGTTAAATTACTTGTTCATCCTTTCAAGGCTTGCTTTTAATCTTTGTTAGGGTGGTAGTTCCAAGGTGACTTTGCTCCTGGGGCTACATGAATCTCACAGCTTAGGTGAAACCTTCCTGAAGACCCCACCCGAAGCTGCATCTAGTTTAGAGTCTTGCTAGTAGGTAGGAACACAAACTACTGTGAGTTTTGTCAGTCATTTGGCTTACCATTGCCAGTAGTTCCTTCACTGCGTACAGGTCTCCCCTCCTCTGCATGTACACATCAGTACAGAGCCAAGACCTGAAAGGATACTGCTGCTAATGTCTGAAGCTTTCCATCTATACAACTCCTTCTTCCCTGGTGTTCTTCCCGGCAAATTCTAGCTGTCTCAGCCTCTGTGAACTCCAGTCTCTCAACTCAGTAGGACCATTAGACTTTGGTATGAATCTTCCTTCTTGTTCTGGGACATCAAACTGCTTCTAGACAGTAGACAGGGAGCAGTTACAAGCATTGCAGAAACATTATGCTGCTTCATCTCTATGGTGTTGGAAACAGCTGTTTTTTACATTTTGCTTATTTTTCTTGAGGTTTATAGTAGGAAAATAATACCAATAGAAGTTAATCTTAGTGCTGGATTGGACGATTTTATTCAGATTTGTATTCTTCCTAGTACCGTATGAAGGGCATATTTGATCATAAAATAGTCAAAGGTTGGGAGACAGATTCCAAGACTAAGAAAGATGATGAAGATCAGAACTAAAGTAATTACAGAAAGGATGGAGAAGAGTTGATGGGAGAAAAGAGACATGGTTAATTAGAGAAGGATTGCTAAGAATAAGGAAAAAAGTGTCAAGTTTTTCTTTTCTATGTTTCTAGTAGATTTGCCATCAATTGAGATAGACTTTAGAAAGAGCATTAGAGGTGGGAAGATGACAGTGAATTGGTGTTTAGAGCTGGAGCAGTTTGTAAGATAGTAACATGAAGATTTTGGCAGGTATATTTGAGTTTGAATTATTAGGCTGGAAAGATTTAGAAAACTCCAGTATAAATTTGATGGTTCAATCATGAGACGTGTTTCACTCACTCTCAGTTTGGAAGAGCACTGGGCTCAAGCTGAGAAGGGCCAATTTTTAAGGATCAAAAAAGGGAGGATCATAAGGAACAAGGAAGGGTTCAGAAAGGTATTTAGGAGAGTCAAGAGAACAGGAACCTTGGTGATGTTTACAGCTTGCATGGGAGGAAGAGACACTAAGTGGAGAGATGGAAAATCTAAATGTGATTGAGGGTGACTGTCAATGCAGGAGAAGAGGGTGATATGTTATTACTTACATGTTAAAGAAATAATGATCTAAAATTGTCTTTTAAGGTTTCTGTTTAAAGTGTTGTTAGATGTCTGGTGTTAACTCATACTCGTAATGGCCCCATTTCCCACAGATACTGCATGAACCCATAGTTGCAGTCTCTGTTTGTAGTTGTTGTTGTTGTGGGCTGTTGAGTCAGAACCAACTCGTGGCTGACCCTATAGTGAGTTTTCACAGGCAGTAAATTGTTCAGGAGCACATTGCCCATCCTCCCACAAAGCAGCTGGTAGATTCCAACTGCGTGCCTTTGGGATTTCAGTGCAGCTTCTTACCACTAGTTCACAAGTGCACTAGAGGTAAAGTACACTAGGGAGCTCTGATGGCCTACTGGTAAGGAGCTGTGAGGTCAACTCAAAGGTACACAGTTCAAATTCACCAGCTGCTCTGAGGAAGAAAGAGAGGCATTCACTTCCTATATGATATACTGCCTCCGAAAACCCACTGGAGGATCAGTTTTGAGTCGGTACTTGATGGTATACAACAACAACAGTGATTTAGAGGGTGCTTTAGGTTGGTGGATCATGGAAGCAGTAACATTTGGACTGACCCTGAGAAGGTGGATAGAAGTGAATGGTTAAGAGTAGGCAGTGGGCAAGAAATCCTAGGTCATTGTTAACTCTGTATTTTTGAACTTGGCTGTGGCTGTCTCCACCAATATACTGGCTTCTTGGAATTGAGGATTATAATTCTTTTTTAGAGCCTCATATGTTTATAGTACTCTTTCAGCTAATATTTGGTATATGAATTTAACTTGATAAGAGGAGACATCATCATTGTCAAATTACTTGTTGCAAAGTACCTAGACTAAGCTCATTATTCAAGCAGAGACAAATTTAAATGTGAACATTCTTAAGTCTACCTGTACTACAGATGATACAAGTATATTTTATTTTTGAATGACAAATTAGAATTTATAAATAAATCAGACACATGTAACTTATAATGCTGATATATATTGACATAACAATTTAAGAGAATGAACAGGATCGTCTTGTTGATTGCTGTCGACTTGAGCACGACTCATAGAGACTGTATGAACAAAAGGGCTGAATTCTACAACTATTGACATTTATCAAAGTTTATAGTTTCCAGAGACATGTTGTTTAGGAAGTGGATTTCACTCCTGCTTCTAAAAAGCACCTCCCCTGACCGAGAGCGAATCCAGGCCATGGCAGTAAAAGTACCAAATCCTAACCACTAGACCACCAGGGAGCCAGAGGATTGAACCAGGTTGCTCCTTGGAGGCAAGGATTCTGGGGCTTCGTCTGACATACTTTGGACATGTTGTAAGGAGGGTCCAGCCCTTGGAGAGGGACGTCATGCTTGAGAGGGTGGAGGGACAGCGCAGGAGAGGAAGACCCTCTATGAGGTGGATTTATTCAGTGACTGGGGTAATCGGGATAGGAGTGTCAGAAACAAATTGGCACAGGATAGAGCAAGGTTTAGGGCTGTTGTCCATAGGGTCACTATGAAATGCTGGCAACTCAATGGCGCATAACAACAATAACAAAACAAGAAGCAATCTAAATGTGGAGATTCTGAAGAATTTGATTAAACTCCTGTGCATTTGAAATGGCATCATTGAAGGCAAGTTTTAGATGATTAGTTTATTAACACACAAGTAGTCACATTTATTTTATATACTTATTTGTGGTAAATACATCTTTTCTTGTTAACCTTGGAAAATGAAAGAATCAAGAATACCTGTTACTGTATGGTAGGTTATATTGATTTATGTGTTACCCTAGAAATAATTCAAGGAGCTGGGAAAGTAGAATAGAGCAGATTGCTTAGTGGTGATGGGCTGCACTGCAACCCAGAGGCACACAGTTCTAATGCACCAGCTGCTCTGCAGGAGAAAGATGGGCACTCTCTTCCTATACACTTTGCAGCCTCTGAAAATCCACTGAAAGGTCAAATATAAGTAAGCTCCAGCTCAACAGTCCATAACAAGAAGATGGTGGTCCATGATAATTTTATGTTCTTGATTGTTTGCAAGTAGTTGGATTTAGTCTAACTTGTTTTGTCCATTTGTTTTTTGATACTGATAACCACAGCAAATGTAAATTTGAAGTAATTTTCTATTTGTTATATGTTGCTCTTTATAAATTCCTAAAGCAGGGAGAAATATGAAATTATATAGTCTAGTATTCACTTTGCAAATGATGGAGGTGAGTTTAATCTGTTTATTTAAATGACCAGCAGAGAATTAAAGCGATGGGCCACCCTTTTTTATGTTAGTGGGGTGCAAGAAAAACTCATGAAAACCTCACAGGCTTCATGTGACAGTGGACTGAAAACAAACTTCCATACACTAAAATGTAATTTTAAAATAAATAAATCATTATAAATGTAATTAAAAAATAATTTTCTATATTTTACTATACAGGCAACAAAGAAAGTAATTACATGAAAACTCATTTCCTTTCTTTTCCCTTTTATTATAGGACCAGACCTATTTCCAGTCATTTGAGGTCTCAGAATATGGTAAGAATATCTCACCTTATTTTGTAAGAGAAAATTTTGTTAATTTTCACACAAATAAGATGAAGTTTGCAAGAGATATGTTACTTAGCATGGGAATCGCAGTGATGATCAAATTCTAGTATTTCTTAGTAGACCCAAGCATATTTTTTACTTCATTAAGGTTACAGTTATAAAGAAAAAAGTAGGAAAAATTGGCATTAGACCTGTTATGTCAGTATTTTCTTATGCACACATTTTTTTGTTACTCTACTTTGTTGTAATTATAACATATTTAAGTCTAACCTATTTTCACTTTCTTCCATCGAAATCTTAGGGAACAGTTTACCCTGACACACTGGAATTACCAAAAGCTAAAGTTGACTTGATGGCAACTGTATTTAGCTTTTTGTTTTTGTTGTTGGTATAGTCTTTTTGTTTAGAACTTTATCTTGATTTCAGTGGGCTCATTAATGACCAATACATTGGAATCAGAACATACTCCAATTTATAAAACTTGCATTTACCAGAATGATAACTGGAATGAAAAAAAAATTACAATCAACTCCTGGAGTGGGGAGTCTTGGGAGAGGCTTAGTGAGCACTTTCAGGAGGCTGATGTGGTAGATTGCATGCCAGACCTTGGGAGAGCAGAATATGTTCAAAGTGTTGTGGTTATCTGCCATGTTCAAGGACCAGGTGTTATTGTTTCCAACTCTACCAATAGATTTAGTTGCTGGGCTACATTCATGCTATTCTTGTGTCCTTTCCCCTCTCCTGAGCCCTGGATTTTATTTATTTTGTTTTAGATACTATACACAATGAAATATGCACTTACCTAATAGTTGTCACGTGTACAGTGTGGTGACGCTGGTTATCATCTCTGAGTTTTAGAGCTCTTCTTACCCTCCCTCCAAGTTGGCCCTCCCTCATTAACATAAATTCACTGCCCCTAAAGGTTCTTATCTTATCTTTTGAGGCACTCATACGAATTTGATCCCATATAGTTCTTGAAAGAGCATAAAGATCTGGTGTGAAAAACAATGTATACAAACTTTGTAAGTAAACCAGCATTAAAATAAAAAGAGCATAATGTTGAGTGTGGAGGGGAGGAAATCACTCAGATGACAGAATTTGGTGAGGGAGGAGTTGGGGAGGTAGAAAGTGAGGTGAGAGGTAAAGGTGAGGTGGGAGTGGGAGGGTGGGTGAAGGAATTAGGAAAGATCCAATGGGAACCTGGAAAGACCGGGTAATATTAGGCATCGATCAATGGTGATTAATTTTCTAGAACATGATGTGCATGACTGATGGTTTGAAACACAATATGAATGTAGGTGTGTATGAAACACAATGCACATGAATGATATAGTGTATATTTTATGTGCAAACCAATATAAAATAAAAACAGTGGAGAGAAAAAAATAAGCAAAACAAAAACAAACAGAAGAGTATAATGTTGAAGACATTTTTACTAGTGAATCTAAACCAGCTATTTTACCCTTTTAAAAAAACACAACTGAACATCAAATTGCAAAGAAATTATTTTCATTTGGTCAGCACTGTTAAAGATGATCTGTTTAACACTAGTAAATCCTGGAATGTCCCCCTCAATGCTATACTGTAATGGTGCAGTTGGAAGTGCATAGGTATAAACAACATAAATCAGCTATTTTGTTTCATAGGATCTGCTATTTTAAAAAAGCTATTTTGCAATTACTGATGAGCTTTTTCTTTTTCTTATTTTTTTACTCACTACCATCAAATTTATTCCAACTCATAGTAACCCTCCATCAGATTTCTGACACTTAAATATTTTTAAATTATTATTATTATTAATTTCAATGAAAATCTACAGAGATTTTGGAATTCCATTCATTCATTGTTGCACTTTTCTCCCCACTCA